CCTTTCTACTTTGCCAAAGGTGGCTCAAAAATGTCTTCCCTAGTCTGTCTATCCTAACGATATCCCTTCCCGCCAATCAATCCACTTTCTACGCCCCAGTACCGCTACCGTCCTTTCCTCTCTATTCCATGCCTCAAACATCTCCCTGCACGTCCCTTGTATTTTTCCCAGCTCAGCCATGTACACTTCCCTCTCCTTCTTGTACCACGGACATTCCGCGACTACATGAACACGGTCTTCGCATTCGAAGCCGCAATCACATTTGAACTCGTCGTCGTCGTCTCCCGTCCTTTGTCTTCGCCGACGTTCTCCAAGGCCCATCCCCGGTCCTGAATTTGACCTTAAGCTTTGTCCCTGCATCCATTGGTCCATGTAGGTCATCCTTGAACCCTATTCCTTCCTTCAACATTCCGTACACTACTAGACCCTCCTCATCNCTTCTTGTACAACGGACATTCCGCGACTACATGAACACGGTCTTCGCATTCGAAGCCGCAATCACATTTGAACTTGTCTTCGTCGTCTCCCGTCCTTTGTCTTCGCCGACGTTCTCCAAGGCCCATCCCCGGTCCTGAATTTGACCTTAAGCTTTGTCCCTGCATCCATTGGTCCATGTAGGTCATCCTTGAACCCTATTCCTTCCTTCAACATTCCGTACACTACTAGACCCTCCTCATCCTCGGTTTCTTTCCTTAGATTCTGTTCTACTCTCTCGGCACAAGCAACTGATATTCTCCTTGAACCCCTGTAGACCCTCCGTTTCCAGCTTTTCATCTTCGTCGATGTCGAACCCCTTCCATACGTCCTCTACAACCTTGACCCATTCCGTGGGTTGTCTACCCCTCTTTTTGTTTGCCCACTTCGCCTCCCATACAATTCTCGGCAACCTCTCCTCTCCCATCCCGCACATGCGATACTGCCAGGTCAGCTTCCTCGCGTCTCTTCCCGACCGTAGGGATTGGATCCCCAATTCTGCCCTCACGGCTGCATTACTTGTGCGCCTGGAGCATCCTAGGATGGTTTTCGCTGCTTTCATCTGCGCCGCCTCGAGTTCTTTCACTACATTCTTATTTCCTTCCCATACTTCTCCGGCGTACTCGTAGCGGCGGTACGATTACGCGCTTCAAAACCGTCAATTTGATGCGTGTATCGAAGTGCCGGTTTGCGAGTATTGGGTACAGCTTCCCTGCTCGTGCTTTGCCCTTTTCGCTACCTTGGACATGTGTGCATTCCACGAGCAGTCTTGTGCGATCTCTACTCCTAGGTATGTGTACTGGTCAACTACTGCACGCTCCTCGATCCCCCACTTCCATCTATGTTCTACTAGTTCCTCCCTGTCCTCGTTGCATAACATGACGGCACTCTGCTTAACGTTGGCAGACAATCTCCACTTATCAGTAAACTTCTTCGCCGCGTCAATTTTTACTGTTGCAGTCCCTCAGGCGCGTCCGACATACCGACAAAATCATCCGCAAACACATTCCTGACACCGAAGTTTCCGTATCCCCTACTTTTACTCCCTTCCGGACTGCCTTTACGAGTTCCAACAGATGGTTGATGAACACCTGGAACAATGTTGGGGACAGCGTGCAACCTTGTGGGACCCCCTTGTTGTTGTTGTTGTTGTTGTTGTTGTTGTTGTTGTCTTCACATTTAAAACCGTTCCGGTCTCTCTCTACCTAGTACCTTCGTATGTCCGTACTGATCCAACACTCGACGCGGTCGATTCCCGTGGTCGCAGGCTAACTTACCCTAAAAAGGTACACTCAAATAAATGGCCCCGAGGGGTCCGCAAGTCAACAGAAATCAACGACAGATATTCTGGAGTCATCCACTCCCTCTGCGTGCTATGCGAGGTAACAACTGAGACTAGGAGTCACCATCACAGGCCGGAGAGAATGAGGTACACCCCTTGGGTTCAATCTTGGTACTTCACAACGCAAGCAGAGACAAGGCCATCTGGCACAGAAAAAGAGAGAAAAAAAGAAAAAGAGAAGAAAATAAAAGGAAACAGTAATAAGGAAAGAGAAAATGAAATAAAAAGAGCGAAGACAAAAAGGGGACCAGGCACAAAATAACAAGAAATAAGAGACAGATAAGGCACAAGGTGGAGAGACCACTCACGACAAGCAAACACGCAAACATGGCCACCAACCAGCGATGCATTGTAATGGTACGTCATTACTGGTGGGGGGTTGGTGCAATGGTGCAGCGTTGGGGGGGGGGAAGTGGCCAAAAGAAATTCAATCCGGCACGTATCGCGCCACTCGGTCCGTCTCTTCTCGTTTGCTTTCTTCCCTCGCCGTCTCGTCCGTCTCCTGCCCCCCTCCCGCCCCGTTGGTTGGTGGCTTGTGGTTTCGTTTGAGCGCCCGTTGTCGGCTGGCCTCTTCTTCCTTCTAGTGCCAGGAGGTCATGAACCTCTCAGCTCCCTGCAGCACCGCCGCATGCCAGGGTACTCCCCCCCCCACCTTCGCGGCTTCCGTCCACTTTAACTTCGGTGCCTTGTCTTTCGGTACCGGGATTCCGAGACAACATCCCCTGCTCAATGTCGAAGAATAAATACAGCAGCTGTCTTTCTAGCATGACCGCGCTGTTCGGACACTGTCGTCTTCTTCAGTGCTCTCCACATTTTCCCCTTGATTCCGTGCTTGGACAGTTGTTTCCACAGCCTATTTCTCCATACGGTGTCGTATGCCTTTTTCGCGTCCAGAAAGAAGCAGTACGTCGGCTTTCCCGCCATTTTTCTACCTTGGATGATTCTCCCTAGCGTGAATGCGTGGTCTACGCACCCCCTCTTCTTTCGAAAACCTGCCTGGTCCTCACTAATGCTATGTTCCTTCTCCAATGTTCCCACTATCCTATCGTTCAGCAGCTTACAGAACATGTTTTCAACAGTGTGATCCCCCTGTATTTTCCTGGGTCAGTCTTGTCTCCTTTCTAAAACAAGTTCACAACCACTTCTTCCCTCCATCTACTCGGCGCATACTCATTTTTCCACACTCAATTGTACAGCAGTACCATCAGCTGGACCATCCCCTTCCCCCCAAACTTCATGAACTCGTTGACGATCCCATCCGCTCCTGCTGCTTTGTGCCACTGCAGCTTGTTCACACACGCCTCAACCTCGTCCTCAGTGAACTCCTTTTCTAGTTCTACGTTTCCAACGTCTGCCTTCGATGTCTCTTCTGCTTTCTGGGCCCATGCGTCCACCTCCTTCTTAAACACTTTTTCAAAAGCTTCATTCTTCGAAGGCACTCCAAGTCTCTTGTAGCGTCCTGCTAGAACTTCCCTTTTTCCCTTCCCGCTGCTGACTAATCCACCGTTCACACCTCGCAAAGTTGCTACCCCTGTATCCCACCCTTGCGCGGTCTTTTTTACCATTCCACTAATCTGCTTGACGTCTGCGTTGGCCATCTGCACTACTTCCCGGGGGGGGGGGCTAGACATCACGCACAGCCACAATCTTCAGGCGGTAGACTCTTACATCCGCTGTTGTAAAGCTGGGGGGTGGGGCATACATATCATTTCGGGTGGTCTACCCACCAGACAGACGTTACACCGAGAACGAACCAGCGGTGGGGAGGGGGGGGGTGGCAGCCATGTGGTGTTTCCTAATGCTCTTGTCTTGAGGGAATGGACATTGGCGGCGCACCTCGGGTGAGTTGGTAAGCCTCGGTCTAGTCCCCAAAGGTTTTAAAATGCTCTCTGACGCCCTTTTCCTTTGTCGAACCAACAAGAAACAAATCCAAAACACACCTCTGCACTGTCTATAATTTCGCCCATATTGGACGATAAGATCTTCTCGCAGATCGACTGTAGCTGGTGCCACCATCACATAACACTGCTGTAACCGCAAAAGGTGCAACGACCGTACCTTGAGCCATGAGGAAAGAAGCGGCGGAATCAGGGATAAGCGTTCCGGGCAGCCCGTCGGCGACAAACTCGTACGCCGTCAGGCGAGCGCCCTGTGCGCACCAGAATAACGCCGCACGAACCCACGACGGGGAAAAGAGAGAAAGAAAAATTATGACATGATATTGTGACAACTTCACGCAGCAAAAGGGAGATAAAACAACGGGGAAAAAAAAAGGTAAGTACTACTCTACAATGCGACACAAGCACCACCGCTCCAACAATACAACGTGGCTCATAACCAGCCGCTCCGTATGGTCAACACAAACGAACAAGAAATTCCGACAGTGCCAACAAGACGAGCGACAGCTGTAAAAACCGGTGGTGAAGAACGCGCCGACAGCTCGGGCTGTTCCGTGGGTGCACAGGAGAAACCCGCGGTTCCCGTGGAACGCAACGGCAGCCGCGCACCGCACCTGGTTGTAAGGCCTCGTCTCCGTACAATAGCAGCTCGCCAGCAAACCCTTTTCGTCGAGAGCTCGAATCACGCCCAAAGCCGTCCCGAACCCAGCGGTCGCCAGGGATCCTTGGGGAGGGTGCGTTGAAGAGAGATGTCAGAATTGGCAGCACTACTGCTGTAGCTGGACATCATCCCACTGGTTATCGTCTCGGATGGGTAACCATTTCACGGGCAGGTTTGGTAGGGTATGAAAAACTCGGGTATCGTGTAACCCGGCTCGGGTACTACCCGTACCCGAGCGTTGGGTAGCTTTGGTACGACATCCCATACCCTACCCGACAAGTCGGGTAACTTTGGAAATACATCCCGTACCCTAGCAAACTTTGCAGGGTATAGTAAATAATACCCTACCCGACAATTCGGGGAACTTTGGTAAGACATCTGTACCCTACTCAACAAGTCGGGTAACTTTCGTAGGACATCCATACCCTACCCAACAATTCGGGTAACTTTGTTAGGACATCCCGTACCCTACCCGACAATTCGGGGAACTTTGGTAACACATCCAGTACCCTACCCGACATGTTGCGTAGCTTTGGTAAGACATTCCGTATCCCTAGCCGGGGGTATAAAAGCAGAACTACCAAGTTCTCAATTTCAGGATGTGACGTCAGAAACGAGCCATACTGTGTGGTGGGAACGGCTCGCATCTGCAGCATACCCTTGCTGCTGCTTGGTGGAGTAGTACCCGACCGTAAGGGTACGAGGGTACGGACTCATGAGCGACGCAGCTGGTGCAGGAGCCACGGGGCCGCCCGCCGGTGATTCAACGGCAGCCTCTACTGCTGCTGCACGGACCTTCACACGGACCTTAACTAGTAGATGAACTAGTAGATGCGCGTGAGATACATCGACAGCATTTTAGTTTTCGTGGGGTACTCTCATTGTGCGGTGTGCAACTGCTGGCTGGAGTAGAATGAAGATCACCGACGGGCTGCGAAGTGGTTGAAGGACACGGGATTACGGTTCTAGACTTCGAATTCTGAGTTCACACGTGACACGTGCCGCATAATGTACGATATGGCAAGCCGAAGGTCCCTCACCCGCTTGGGTTGGACCAGTTTGCCTTTGAAAACCGACAACAATGGTTGGTATGTATGATACAAACCGACTCAATTGGTATTTGTCAATTGGTATCTGCAAAGGGGATCGCGTACCCGTACCAACGCTCCAACATCAACGTGCGCAGGGTAGTAAGTCCTGTCCTTACGCCGCCGTCAAGCTACAGAAATACACCAGACAGTACCCTACCCTAGGGTACGGATTCCAGCCGGGTAGAGTACCCGGCAGGCTCGGGAAACCAGGGTACGGCGCCCCGTACAATACCCGACAAATCGGGTAACTTTGGTAAGACATCCAAACCCTACCCAACAGTTCGGGTAACTTCGGTAGGACAAACATACCCTGCCCATAGATTCGGGAAACTTTGGTAGGACATCCATACCCTACCCGACAAGTCGGGTAACTTTGGAAAGACATTCCGTAACCAACCAAATTTGGCAGGGTATAGTACATATCACCCTACCCTTCTGGGTAACTTTGGTAAGACAGCTGTACCCTACCCAACAAGTCGGGTAACTTTGGTAGGATATCCCATACCCTACCCAACAACTGGGTAAGTTTTATAGCCTATCAAATCTACCCGAGGGTACGGATATACCCTACCAAACCTGCCCTTGAACCATTACTCATCATATGAAACTTACACACAGCGAACGGGCTTCAGAACAATCCACTGAGTATTGCCTCCGAAGGGAAACCGTTATTCATGACGATTTGTATCGCAAGGGTTTCACAGAGCACTCCACCGAGTTTGTCGCGGATGCGTGACCCTGCTTCAGGGTGATGTATTGCGTTGAAAGAGAGAGAAGACGGTTCCGCCGAGAACAACATCAACTGCGCCAGCGCCACACCTGCCCGTCATACAATCTGGCACCCATGTGCCCAGACTCTTCAACTTGATTCGGGGCAACCTCGTAGATAGGGTTCGAGACCCGACAGCAGCTGTGACACCACCAGTGGCGGCACAACAACACCACCTTAATGAGATAACAGCAGTAACAGCACATGTGCGCCAGTCATTGCACTACCGGCTGGGTTGTTTTCTGAGGGGTGTGGTATCGTTCGTGGCCCGAACACTTAACCAAAAAGTAGAAGCATTACGTTCGGGCCAATGTTAACCAGTACCGACATTACCACCGAGTTTGGTAGTATGGTGGGTGGTATGGGATGTCTCGTCATTGTGTCGTATACGGTAGATAACACCCCCTCTTACCGGTATTGCAGTGCGTAAGAACCGAGAGGCGGGCCTTTCCCTTGCACGACGGCTCCAACTGAAGGGCCTCGACGGCGTAACCCCCTGTTAACCACCGTCACAGGATAGTCCACCACATCACACCACATCAGGCACGGAGAGCGTTGGAAAAGGCACACAGGGAGACGGCCATGGGGCACATGAGACCGACAGCGATGAAAGGATCAAGAGACTCGTGATGGGCAGCGAGGGGATGAAGAAGGCACGTGTCACGCCTATGTTATGAACATGCCGCACAAAACGGGTGGGGTGAACATCCAATCTATCCATCAATTTATCGACATGTATTGAGCGGGCTACCAAGCGTTTGCTACCTTGCCGGCGGTTCGCGGCGACGTCCTCTTCCAGCATGGCCTCGGCGGCCCCGACGAAAGCCTCCACGGTGGAACTCCACGTGCTGCCCTCCCTCGCGGCTTCTCCGGAGATCGTAGTCTTGAGGGCATCGCAGGCGTTGGCAAGGTTCACCGCCGTCTCCCGCGAGGTCTTCAGGTAGTCCAGCCTTTCGAGTTCGTGGTATTGATTGCATCCGCATTTATTGCCCGTCCACGGGGAATGAGGCGGGTTAATGAGCGCTGCAGGTAAGGTTGTTACGTTTGAGAGATAGGGTTGTTGCTGTTGAAAGACAAGGGTGTTACTGCTTTGGTGGTTGGTTGGCTAGTGGCAGCAACGTGCTTTTGAGGCTCGATGTGTTGAGGAACTTGTGCGCGATGGATGTTGTGGGTCAGCGAGAGGGTTGGTTCCCGAAAGGGAGTTGGCCGTACGCTAAAGTGTCGAACAGCAACCTGTGAGTATCGGCTCATCGCCCGGGGTATTTCCCACGTTCACGGGCTATCTTCACGAACGTACGCATCCGGAATACATGGCACCATTCTCAAAGAACGACCCGATGTCTGCCGAGCACATCGTTGGAACAAATCCAAGAACCAACGGCGGCAAAGCTGCCATTGGAGAACTGTCGCACAAGAAAGAACGTGCGGTACAAATGCGTCACTGCTCTGAGGGCTGCGACCACAGATCCACGGCAGCGATGCAGCTCGTGGTTTGCACTACCAAAGCATGGCGACGCTCTGCAGCCAACACCGGGAACGCAGCGACGAAGACGGTTCACATGCACAGTCGGCTCTACGATCGATCATCGTGATCATCAAACCGTCACCACCCCCCAAGCGCAACGAAGCTCACTTCTCGTGCAGCATGGACGATGCCTCTTGCGCCGTGCCATTCTGCGTCGCCCCCGAGCACGCCTCCACGGCAAGGCCGAGGGCCGCGACGATCGCGATGAGAGGCGCGCCTCTCACCTGGCGACAACAGCATGGATACCGGCAGCGTTTGTCCGAGACGATACCAAAAGGCGCTGGGGAGCGCAAGGATGCACGAGATGCACGGCCACGCTCCCATACGCGTGACAGCTCACTCGAGCTAGAACCGAAGTCACCACTGATTTGCAAACTAAATCTGGGGGCAAGCCAAACAAAAAAGCCTGGTCGTGCATCTCTCTCGAGTCCCTCAGCTAACGCCACCGCTCGATTCCCACCGTCGCCAGTCCTGGCACCATTTCTTCTCCCGAGTTGACCCAATGTCTTAAGAAACAACCCCCCCCTGCTTCATGTAACATTGTCATGCCGCCCGTTTACGAGTTCATCGGCGTTGGGCACCAGCCCGCCCGCTTACGCACGTCCTGCTTTTCGCGCTGGGGACCGCGGCCACGACTCCATGCCGAATCAGGTGAAGCCTCGCGGTTTCGGCTTGCGAGTCGTGGACAATAAAAAAAACTCCACTATCACCCGTTATCGAATCTAGCACGTCGGAGTACCTCGGCTCGCGCGCTTGGCAATTTCTAACCACACGCCAGCAAGAGAGATAGGGTACTCTCAGGCCGAGCAGACTTTCTAGCCCATGTCATCGCCTACGGAATGGAGTTAAGTCCCCCCAAGGAGAAGAAAACAAAACATGCCGAAAAGGTGCCTTGTGCTTCAATCACTAGCATGGGCCGCGTGGACCAACCCGCTGACCAATGAAAATACTTCAGCCACGTCATTGCCCCACCCCGCGCTGTCGTGTCAATCCCCGAATGCTTGTCGCACAAACGCGAAGGTGATGTTGATTGTTTCGTCCAGTTGGGGCAGTATTAAATGGCGAGCTCCTGTTAAACCTCGGGTATTCCTCTTTCCTTCGAGACACGTAAGATTCACCTACCATCATGGTCTTTATGGCGTCGAAGGCATCCTCGGCCCCTCGCACGTCCACGTACTCGGTTTCATGAGGCAGTTTCAGCTGGTTCAGAACCTGCAGCGACCCCCTCGTGTACCTGCCGTCATTTCGAAGAGGAACCAAAAGCAAAACCCGCGGTGCACAAGTTGGGGTGAAGTCAAGCTACAGCTTTGTACGTTCAGATAGCGCCGGCTACGATACAAGAGCGGGTGTGACAAGCCGAAATCGCTCTAAAATGATCTAACAACGGAGGTAAGATGAGAGAGAGAAATATCTTATGTAGAAGCCAAATACTCAAGGACCGTGTACAGCACTGCTCCTCGCAAAACTGATGTCAAAGCTCCATGAGCGCATCCAACACCATGTGAACGTCATGCTGCGGCGACGTCGTTGCATTCTATTCACCCAACGCATCGTTCGACCTGTTTCATGTAGCGTATATAAACCAAAAAAACTCAACAGATGTATCGGATGAGCGAACACAGGTCGACGAAAACAAAGCCGACGTACGCGCATGAAAGACTTTTAACGCATCAACGTTGGACCGAGGAAAGAGAGAATGACGAGGTCGGCCGGGTTCGGCAGGGGGGGCGCACAGATGTGGCAGACGCGTTGCATCTCGTTTTCATCATCATGCGGTCGACCACACCACGAACACCGTGGGTGAACCTCCGCAGCCCGTGCATGGGTGCATCGTGCGTTCAGGCGGGCTGGCGCGTGATCGGGGACGCACAAGCAGCGACTGCCCGCTGCGTTAGCCATGGTGTCTGCGGTTGTGCGCGTGTGTGATGTGTGGCTCTGCTTTGTCGGGGGCTGGACTAAAGACAACACGACAGGAGACACTCTCTTTTAGATCGAACATGGCGGGGACAAGGGAAAACACTCCCTTGCATCCAGCTATCTCTTCAATGGTAACATCTGGTAAACCGTAGCATCTACTGCATGTTTACGCCCTGGTGATCTGAAGGCCATGGATAATCTGAATATGTGTGCTCTCTGATGATCTGAAGGGCATGTAGGTAATAATAGAGATATGTTTTCCCGAGGTTATCTGAAAGACATGAACGTGATCGGGGAATGCTTGCACGAGGTGCGATGATGGGCATAGGTGCCCGGGGCATATTTGCCCAAGGTGATGTGAAGGACCTGGAGATCTGTATATTCTTGCCCAGAGTTCTCATCTGAAGGATATATGCAGGTGATCGCGGTGTGTTTGCCCAAGGCGATCTAAGGGACCGAAGAACCGGGTGATCCGATTGGATCGGATTGGAATATGGATTGGATCGAATTGGAATATGTAGTGCTTGCTCCGGATGTGTATTTTTCATGGGATACTTGCTGAACATGTTGGCGTTGAGTTGAGATTTTGCACCTCATGGCGTTTCCTATGCATTAGGGACAAATATCCGTCGGTGGCTGTATGCTGATGTGTCCTGATGCAAGTTCTATTTCATACACATCTGAAGGTGTTCTGGAAACGCCTGACGCTGGCTCTGGCTCTACTGCTGCATGTATGTCGTTGTCGGACGAGAAAACAAACGACATGCACTAGTCTTCATCAATATGTTATACATCCAACGTTTGCTCGATGTTAATTTGTAAGACACACTAGGGGAAGTACATGATCTGTCCTGTGTATGCATCTGCATCTGCATATTCACATGTGCGGACGCACTTCTTTTCTCGTACAACTTGTAAGTAGGTGTGGAATTATTTCTTCAGAATGCCCCAGGGGTAAAATACGGCACGTTCTTCGTGCACATATCGCTTTTTGCCGCGACAAGCGCCTTTGACTCTCTGATACCCGCACTTTCTCTTCCGCATTTGCATACATACATCGATTGTCGTGGACGGGACATCCGTCAAAGTTACAGGAGACAGCAGACCGACGAGACTGCCTGCTGTTGTTCAGAGCACAACAACCCCGGAACACTTGAGCTTTCGTTGCAACGCACAGCACCTTGGACATGTAGGGGTTGGCCTAAACAATACTCGAATATCCACGTACACCGGCAGAAATCTAGCGTACTGGGGTATAGCGGCCAGGGTGGTGTTGCCGTGATCGCGACAACGTGAACATATCCCCCCGAAATGTCCAAGTAGCCCAAAACACGGCGACAAGAGTGCACAATGCAGTGCATATAAATTGACGTGTTGGACACAACAATTGTAAGGTAGTGCTTCAAGAAGTTCTTTCTTGCGCCCACCTCAACGACTGGAGCTTGATCGAGGTGTTCCCTGCTTGCGCCATTCCTCCAGACCTCCTCAGACCCCTCGGTGTGTGTGTAGGTGTGTGTAGCACAATGGTGATCGCATCACGAACGAAACCTGCACAGCAGAACAGCAGCACAGGCTCTGATCACGATCTCCGAAGAACGCACGCGGCGGAACTACACGATAAATGCGCATCTCCCCAGTTTGTAAAAAGCTTCCGCTGAAACCCGGCGCGATTGATCCGAAACCAGCCACCACGTGCCGGCTTGTACAACGCACCGGTGAGCGGCTCGTTCCAGGGATAGCACGTGCGAAGGAGCTGCGATACGGCTTGAGATACTCGTCAGCATTTGTTGCAAGTTCGGTGCAGAACCTGCATACGCCACTCAGCAGGCGCTGTCACGGAGTTGCGTTCGACAGACCCAGAGAGAGCGAGACCGCCTGGTTTGTTCTCGCACGCGGGGCTGAAAGGCAACCGGCCGGCCTGGGCTTTGCACAGCAGCAGCACGGCACCGGCGGAACGGAAGAAGAAGCGCACAGTTTACTGCGTGCAACGCGCTGGCTCAAGTCGGCGAGTCCCCTTCCCCACCCCGAGTGGACGAGAGCTCGCGTCGCGAAACACGGGCGGAGGCTTTATTGCGTCTCTACAAACCTAGGTGGTGCAATACAATCCGCGCGCACATCGGAAGCTTTTGGAGAGCGAGACAGAAGTCGGTTGTGGGAGAGGTGTGTGTGCTGCTATTGCTTAAACGATGGCCCATCAGCAGATGCGGAGAAAACAGCCAAGGCCCGGGCGGCGTGTGGGCATGGTGCAAGCGGTAGTGGCTGCGGTGGTGGGATTGGCGTGCTGTGCGGTGCGTGTGAGCGGAGAGCTCAAGCAACAGCTCTCGGTGCTGGGGCCGTTCGACAAGCACGACCACAAGGGGGCGAGGATAATCCCTTACTTCGAGAAAACCGGTGCCACCAACATCATGCAGTCCTTCGTCAGGGTGAGCTGTAGTTGTCGTGCCTTGACCTGCACTGCATGGGTGGTGCCCTGTGATTGCATACATACGTAGATCATGGTATACTGAAGCACAAGAATAAAATACTCGGAAATTTTGGGAGCCTGGTGTCTGGTGTCTGGAGGAAAGAAGATGTGATGTTGCCCTTGCTCTAAAGCAGGCATGGATAACCAAGTCGGCGGTCCAAGTAGGATGGCCTTTCCCATTGTCCTGTCTACCAACACACGTTAAACGCAACCATCATTGCCGAGGTTGCTCGAGTTCTTTTTGATGATTTGGTTTAGTTGCGTACGAAAGCGAGCGCAAGACCGCAGCATGTAGCGGCTCTTTCGTTCGTTCGGAACACTCCGTTCGCTTGATCCAAGCAGTAGATACTCCGGAGTCTGGTCTGCTTTTTAGCTTTTTAGGCCTCTAGGATGATTTCGGCAGCGAATGTACGCATTCACCCACGCGTGGACGCATGGATACCGGGCTGGGTTGCTCACTGCTTCGCTTTCACGCCCTCGTTGACTTGTGCCACGTTTGTGGAGCTCCGCCACGAGCAATAGAACCAGCGTTTAACGGTCCACATGAACGTTCATGGTTCCGCATCGGCATCTGTCGTGTGATTTATGTACCGTATTCCACACAAGAAAACGCGCGCCGGGCATAACGTTAGGGTTTCTGAAGTAGTTATCGCCAGAGGTGTTGTTGGGCGTGGGGTATGGTGCTGTTCGTACCTTTACCTGATTTGAGAGTACGTTCGTGTTGGTTTTTGCCTCGTTAAAACAACTTTGCCACCGGGTGTAAAATGTGCGGGGCGAGGGGTGTTATCTTCTGTGGGTGTATCATACGCGGTATCCACATGCACTGTTTCCGCAGCCGTATCCTCCTGACGTTCTTGTGCATCTATCAGCGCGTGGTGAGGATTCTTGACGGCCTCCCAGCGCCGCCGGACCCGAGATCACCGCAACAAACGTCTGACGAATAACGCCCCTTCTTTTGCGGCGCGAACGACCTCCGTCTGTATCGCGTGTCATACCCGTCATGGCGTAATCTGAAGCTGACCCCGGATAAGCCGGAAGAGCTAGGGACGCTATGGTCGAGGTCAACCATTGCGACGTCAGATTTCTCCCTGGAGTGGAAATTCCGAATCAGCGGGTAAGCCCTCGTCGCCTATGACCGCCACCGCCCTCCCGTATCCCCCGCAGCTTCCGGCCAGCCACTATTACGTGTCTTACCTTTGTGTGACATCCACGTCTCAGAGATAAGTCACACCGAGCAAATGGAACCGGCGCACCGGTAACACCAGGGTGATGGTTTGCCTTTGTGCAGGGGGGGGGGGGCATGCGTGCGTGACGAGGAGCTGCCGCAAACAGCGGCAAGTTCATCGGGAGAGAGGGCGGAACGGGCTTTGATGCCCACGAAAACAGCAGTCGTTGTTCGTTTGTTGTGGGTTATGCTGAGTTGCTTACTGCAGGCTGCTGTTCTCTGACACGAAGACCCTCCCTCCCGAAAAAAACGTTTCCTAACATAGACTGCAATGTGTCAGAGTAGGAAAACATGTCGCACCCGCCTACGTACCACACGAGACCTTGTGTTTGCTCCTGTGAACCACGGTGTTGCGAGCTCGACCCCCTAGCCTTTGGGTGTGTGCTCAGGTGTTAGCATGTGACGCTATCGCGCACAATCACCGAGGGCATGGGCCGAGCGTGTGTTCCCCAAGTTGAGATGAGTTTCCGTCACTTCCTCTTGCTTTCTCCGGACCGCTGACATCGCAAGCCTCTGACGCTCGCTCGTTCCGCCTGTGTCTGCTGCTGCTGCTGCTGCTGCTGCTGCTGCCGCTGTGCGTCTCTGAAGGACTGAGAAGATCAAGTACGGGGATACCATCGCTCTGGTCATCGCACCGATGAAGTACAAGGTACATGCGCCCTCTCGCTGCGATCCACGTATCCCCTCTGCTTTCTTTCCTCCCACGTAGCTATGGGTTTTCCTGCAGTACTTTTTGGTGGCATTTTTAATGCAGGCGTGTTTTCGGCGGTTTCGTAGTGTCCACGCCAGCGCCAGTAGACTGGCATGGCGAGGCTGCCGTTACATTTTGGGCGACGAACATAAGAGCCGTTGGGGAGAGCATTCCGAATGAAGAAGAAATACAATCCTACGCCAGTGAGGACCACTTAAGCTTCAAACAGTTTAATTTTTTCCTGACGGAGTGCTTCCTCCAAGGGCTTCGTGCGGTGCACCATCAGCAGCATTCCATGGCACGTGAAGAAGCGGCAATATGGTGTGTGAATCTATTGTAAAAGGTGGGCAATACGTTGAGTGCGAGCCAGTGAACGGAGCTAGTTTTACGGTCTGCCTTGCAGAAGAACAAAAAGCTTTCTTTGGCAACTTCTGTTCCTGGTGTGCTTTTATGCTAACTTCGTTAGCGTGCACCAACAAAGTGTTTTTTACAAAGTCGGGGTTGGTCACAACGTCCTTCAAACGGCATGAGCTGGACCATACGGTGCATTATCGCTCATTGGTAAACCTCTGTCATCCACAAAATGTGGAAGATAACAGAACTATCCGCCGAGTGCAAGTCTTGGTGTCGTGCAAATGCTGACCGAGCCACAAGCGGTTGTTACTTGTTCCTCTCAATTGTTTTCGGACGGGGAGTGGGGGTTAGGGACGTTTTTACCCAAGCAGGGAAGCACAATACCTCCAAATTGAATGTGTCATTTTTGTTTGCCTTTGGACTGTTCCCGAGACCGGGCAATATACCGTAGGTTGCGTAAGATATCACACCCCCTGGGCCGATTTCCAAAGCTTGATTTCTCGGCTGCGAAGGCCGTGACGTCGCCAAAAATGGTGGAGTTGGAACCGCCCCGTCGAGAACTTGGCGAACACGTATCGTTTGCCTTCGGCAATATCTTCGTCATGGAGTACTCGAGCAATAGGCCCGGGGGGTGTGATATCTTGTACCATGTCACCTACGGTAGTGGCCGCTTCCTCGGCATTGACGAGAACTTCACGGGCATCAGTAGAGAGTCAAGCACAGCAGGTAGGCCAAGTTATCACCGCTGCCAACCCAACACGTGGACTGCGGATCTTACGCTTGTTCCTGCTAATCCTGTTCAGAAGGCAACAAAGAGGAAACATGTGCGTCGTTATTGTGGGTCCTCCAGGCGGGGCAAGACGGGCGTTTCTTCGGGATCGACGAGAAGTTCACGGGCCTAGTTGTCGTAGCCAACACCAACCGGCAGCTGCTCAACAAAGACAGGCTCCCTGGGGAGCCCATGGGCCGGCACAGAGACGTGTCCGTGATCGCTAACAACGGCACCCGGAACTACGGCAACCTGATCGATTCCTTGGAGGGCTGCACGGCTAACGTCAGGTTCGATGAGACTAGGGACGACTTCAACGTCATGCAGGTGAGGACGGGTTGCTTGGCGCGGGGAGGTGTGGAAGCGCGGAGTGGCTTAGAGAGGAGGGTGGGGGAAACGTTTGGCTCAGGTGGTTTAGTCATGGCCGCCTCCCGAATATGGTAGAACACTCGATGGTGCTCCTTCGGTCTTTTCTGGTGTTGCTGGTTGATCCTCGAATCTGATTGGTTGCAATCTATCGGGGGGCGGGGGCGGGAAGCAGGAGTTGACACTGGGGGAAATGGTTGGTGCCTCTGTTGTTAAGTTGTACATATCTGCGATATTAGGGCAGGCCTCGCCACGACCCGGCGTTGGTGTCGATATACCCTTGTGAAGGATTTTCACTCTTACCGCTTGTGTAGGGTGTGTGGGGGAAATGGCAGGGCGACATCGAGAACGCCGGGGCTAGTGTTTCCCGATTGAGAAGGATACACAGTAAATTCTGTAGAGTTTTTTGTTTTGTTGACGCCACGACCATGCTTGTTTCTGTCGATCCTGGAAGTTCTCATACCCCCGCCGCCCCGGTCGCGGTCGCCGCCAACATTTTGCTCTCCTCCCGCCTACTGCCGTACATAGTCCACCCGTGTTCGGCTGAAGGTAGAGGGGAACACGGTTGCGATGGAGGTAGACGCTAGAAACACGGGGCGGTGGAGACGTTGCTCGACGATGGCCCACCTCGACATGCCGGCGGACTGGGCGTCCAAGTCGAACGTGGGTATCATCGCCAAGACTTCTGAGGTGAGCGACAGGTTTTTCTTCTTCCCAACCCTCGGCTAGGTGGAATCCTGATGCGTGCGTGTTCGTGGCCGGATTCGTGTGTGTGTGTGTCTTTGTTATTAGCATCGACGGCGCTAACCGGCTGACCAGTGAAAAGACTTAAGTGTCAGCGGGTAACGTGTGTGTGTGTGTGTGTGTGTTTGTCTTTGTTATCAGCGTCGACCGCGCTAACCGGCTGACCAATGAAAAGACGTCCGTGTCAGCGGGTAAAGTGTGTGTGTGTGTCTTCGTTATTCACATCGACCGCGCTTACCGGCTGACAAAATAAACACGTCAGTGTCAGCGGGTAAAATGTGTGTGTGTGTGTGTGTGTGTCTTTGCTCTTAGCATCGACCGCACTAGCAGGCTGACCCATAAAGAAACGCCAGTCTCAGTGCGGTTGAAAACAGGAAGTGGTTCTAAAGAACACGATCGAGGACCCCCTGAGTGTGGTTTGTGTCTTTTCTGAATTAGCATCCACCGCTCTAACCGGCTGACCAAGGACAAGACGCCAGTCTTGGTAGCGGGATATTCAACACGACAACACGAACACTTGATAATCAAGGGGTAAGTCAGTGTTTTGTGTTCAGTTCTCCCTTATCTCGGGCACGGACACTGCACCCGCATGATCCGAATTTGTAGGATGTTTGTTTCAAGTCGAAATCAAGCATCACTTCATCAGCCGTCACTTGATCAGCAGCTCTCCCTCGGCCTGGCCGTTGAGTACCCCGCTCACGTTTTCCCCACCGCCGACCCCCCCCCTACCTGATACCAAACCAAACGCCGACTGTTGCAGAAAACGAACAACCACGACCTGCTGAGTCTTCGGATGTACACCGATCCGAATGATGCGTGGGAGGTTGACACCTATGAGGACGATGAGGACGAGATGGACAGCCTCATGCACCACATGGAACACGAGCTCTTCAGTAAGTATGCAAGGAGAAGTTGCTGCTGGCTTGCTGTTTTGTTTTTTTGGTCCTTGTTTTATGGTGTTTGTCACATAAACGAAAATCAAAGTGCTGCCTATCCATGCTCTCTCCCAAATCCTGTGGGAGTGAGTGAGCGCACCATTCTGTATGTCTCTTGGCCACGCAATGTACCGCAGTTGTCCGATGTCCGTGTATATGTGTGTTTGTGCGGCAATCTGACACTTGCCCGCGGTTACGCATGTTGTTTCTGCGATTGCCGGACAGACGTGCACGACAGCCTGCGGGAAACAATCGATGCGCTGGCTCAGGCGGAGCGGGACGCGGAGACTCGCCTTCTACTGCTCGAGGTGCGTGCATGTATGACATGGATTATCGCACTTTGAAGTAGAACGTTGCTTGCTTTTTCCTTGTCTTTCTTCCTCCTCCTCGTTTTCTTGGCCATTGCGTTACGGCATGGAAATTCGAAATCAAGTTCTCGAGGTGCTAAGCTTCGAATTGCTTTGTGTGCTCGCTCTCCTCAATCTTGGCTATTCTTGCTATTGTGGGAGAAGATGATACAGTCGAGGTCCCTGTTTAGTGCCGAGGTGTGCGCGGAAATTTTACCGGCACGAAACCGGACACCAGTACTATTCAGAGTACAGAACAACGACTTGGTATCTCAGTGTGTTGTTGTTGGCTTCACATTAAAAACCGTTCCGCTCTCTCTGCGCACTACCACCATTTTTTGTACGTACCAGTCTAACACTTGACGGGGTCCACTCCCGTGGTCACAGACTAACTTGCCCATAATAGGTGTGCGAGCCGAAAACACTATACCGCCACCACACCGGCAACCGCACTAAACAGGGACCTCAACTGTAGCGCTTTTCGCATTACGTCTAGCCGGTCGTTTGTAACCAAACCGTGAGAGACGAGGAACTATGTTTTGTCGGATACGACAAGCTATCCAGAGCTAGGGTGTCGTATTAAGCTTGAGCACTGTCAGAATGCTGAAATTAGTTGGGCAACTAGTCCCGAGGAGTTGGGTGCGCATGGAATACCGGAAGGTTGCAAGTCAGCTATAGCACAGGGGGGAGATCGATTTTCAAAGCGTAATTTTTCCACAACCAGGAGGTTACAGTACCACTGTCGAAAAAGGGCGGTTTTGGAAATATCTCACCGAGGGCTTTCCTGAAAAATATCAGTTGCCGCTCGCACCCTTCAGGTTGTGGAGAGATTTCGCTTTGAAAATCGACCGCACCCGTGTGCGCTGACTGGCAACCTTACGGGCATGTCGGAATCGAAATAGTAACACATGTGGCTTGGGTGGATTTGTGATTACCGCTTTCAACCGAGTATTGTTTTGCCACTAATTGGTTGCAAACCCATGTGTGTAGTGCAGTGTCTCCCTCGCCATGGCCGCCAGCACCCGCACATGCCCGCTGGCCTCTTGCCCATGCCGGCTAACTTGAACGCCCAGCCAGTTGGGTGTGGTGCCAAGAACATGGGGAGTTCCGGAAGATTGGGTTGCATGTCTACCGCGGCACCCCCTATCACCACCACTCCCGGTATCTTGACCGCCTCGTCCCATCCCGGTTCGACGGTTTCATGACATGTTATTTCCACTCTGCTTGCCCCCGTCGCCTCGTTTCGACCGAACGCGCCCGTCGATTGTTACCTACAGGAAAACCTGAGCAACTCCGTGATGCAGGCTTTGGAGTCGAGGGTAGCGAAGCTGGAGGTGCAGATGCAAACCAGCGTGTCCAAAACCCTCAACAAGCACGTGAACCAGGTGAGAGGGTACTGTTGTACCTCTTGCACACAGCACCCGCAAACCGCATATGGGCTCGAAATTAGCCCGTTTTCTCCCCGATTTTCTTCACACTCACTGCAACAATTTGAACACATCCTCTTCGACTGTGATTTCATCTCGAACTGTAGTCTCTCCTTTGATTGTATCGATAAACACGGGTTACCTGCAAATACTTAAACACCCCCTCATTCGACTGTGGTATTATCTCGAAAAGGCTAGCAGTCTTTCTTTGACTGTTGTGTATTTTTTTCTAAAAAGGCGTGGACCATCTACCGGACGGGGCGGTGGTGCCATCGTCAGTGTCGTCGCTGCCGACCAGCCGCCGCACGTAGTTTATCCGTCGAGACGGGGGGATAGCAATGTTTGAATCGCAAACTATTCCGCTTGCCTGCCTTCTTTCGCCTCTACTTACGCCTCTACTTAAGGTGGCTCATTTGTCATCACGGTGACGCAAGTGCGCGGTCTCGATGCTTTCGCACCTAGAGCTACATTGGAATAGGTTAGGATTGGGCAGCTGAAAATGATGGCACGTGCTGCCGTGTACCCACGCACCCACGCCCTCTCACGCCCGCCCCCGACTCAAAAGACACATGGCTTTCGAATCGTCGCTCGTCTCTCGTAATTGTTGTATTGCTGGTTGCTGGGAGGGATCCTTTCACTGTTAAGCAGCACGTAGACCAGGCTGTGTTGTGAGCTATATGTTGCCTGTTTTTTGACAACGGGTACCTCTTGCTTTTCGTTTATGACAACGCCCTCCGTCAGGTATACGACAGACTTGAGGAGGACGTCGGCGTTAAACTCGCGGAGCACGTGGGGAAGATGGTGAGTCACGCAAGCGCCCATGCTTGCGTGCAGCGACAGGCCGCTGCTTTACTCTATGGTTTTGTTCGTAGATACGCCTTGTGTCTGGGCGAGCTCCGGCTTTTCGTGAGAGCATTTTCACGAACCGGTTGTTTTCCTGACGGCATGTTCCACGCACAAAATGTCTTGTCTAGTAATATGTTTTTCGGCGAAATCAACGTAAGTCAGTATCTAGTCGAATCTTGTGGGATAAGTAATCAAGAAGTAAATCCATCTCGCCCACCCCGCTGCCCACGCCGCTGTCTGTCGCACGTGCCTTCAATCGCTCTTCCTCTTTTTTTTTTTCCTTGTTCCTCCAGTCGGCTTCCTGGCGGTGGCCCTTCTACGCCTTGCTAAGTTTGGTGATTGGGATGGTGGCGTTCTCGTTCACCAAGTACAAGCAGTTGAAAAAGCAGCACCTGCTGTGATTGTGTATTATCTCGAGGTTCCGGACGACGAAAGTATTAGCGTCGTGCGGTTCGGCCAAGGGAGCCAGGAGTCTATAGACCAACGCCTTCTGTAATGAAGGTTCAGTTGCCACAAAAAAATAGGGGCGTGGAAGGTGAAGATGCGTGTGTCCGAGGACCGGCAGTTGAAAAGGCAGCACCTCCTGTGATTCAACGATCGATCTTTTCAGGCTAGCGCGTGCTGGAGATGTTGACGTGCGGCGTGGTCAGCTTCCAATTCCGGGGGGAAATTAAAGGTGTACGTGTGTGTTCCAAGCTGTTGTATGATGTTGAAAAAATTGTTTCTTTGTCGGCTTCGGGTCTTTTGATTGAAGAGATGTGTTGGGCCCCAGCCACCAACCAGCCCACGTCCGGACTGTCTCGTCTTCGCTTCTAGTACACCACGTGCTGCTCGAGTGCGTATTGTTCACGAGGAGAGGGTACATGTGTGCGTCAAGGCATGCCCCCCCCCCCCCCCCCCCCCCCCCCCCCCCCCCCCCCCCCCCCCCCCCCCCCCCCCCCCCCCCCCCCCCCCCCCCCCCCCCCCCCGGCGGGCTTGTGCAGGCATTCAATAGTCGGGTTATATCATTCACTCTGCCTCCCTATCATTTAGAACTCTGTAGACTATCTGCCTCTGCTGTGGCGTCCTGCTTTCATTTTCCGCGTCGTGGCACGTGTGGACGGACACGCATACTGGTGTCGGCCATGCCACTACTTGGGAAAAGATAGATTGACCTGACATCGCTGCATCCACCGTCAACGTTCTCTTTTTCTGCATGATTCTTCTGTGTCGCCCCTGTATGTTGTTCATTTGCCGAGGCGGGAAAGACCACGGAAGGCAAGAACGCACGTTTGGCCACGACAGGGTAGTGATTTCTTGCGGAATGTCGTCCGCGGTTTCTCATGATATCAAGACTAAATACACACATCATAGATACATGCCTGGCAGTTTTCCTCGTCTTTTTTTTCGTTGAATGTACGTGTACCCATAGGATTTTTCGTTGGTTGGCCTGTAACGACGCAAGGCGTCCACGTGACATGGACCAAAACGACTCTCAGATGGCACTGAGCAGCTGTGTACCGAAACGGTCTATGATGGGGGGACAAATACCTCAAGGTCGACCCGAAACGGTTCCGGTGGCAGGTGTGCCGTCTGCCAGTATTTTGCGATTTGGTGCTATCCACCGCCATGGGCGTCGGCGAAAAGATTGGTCCCGGGGTAGCCCCGGCCTCAACGGGAGCCCTCTTCCTGTCCCAGCGGCTTCGTAAAAGACGGGCGTCGCTAAAGTGGGGTTCACATCATTCTAGCAGAATTGCTGTTTCAGCCGCGGCAGCATCGTTCTGTAACGTCCTCACCTCTCCACCCTACCGAATCTGCACAGTTTCAGTGGCACTCGCGAAGAACGCCATCAAGTAAGGGGATGATATCGCGGAGTACGTAGTTAAAGAGTGATTTTTGACTTTGGCCGTGCTTGCATGGACCCCCTCAACTTCCTCGATTGCATGCATTACCAAACATGTTTACTTTGTCGAACAAAAGGCCAAGACTGGTGGCTTGATTCCTGCCGGAGAGTGAGCCGGGAGTTATTAGATTTCTACTCAAAGGGCAACTACCCACCGAAGGAGAAAAAAAAATGCTCCCCTACATTGGCTTAACAAGAACCAATGCGGTGACAAACTGGTAGTGAATGTACGCGGAAGCCACCTAGATGTAAGCCAAACGGTGCCGCCGAAACGACAAAGCACCAGGCCGACAGCGCAAGAGGGAAGCGGCCAGCATGTTCATGTTTCGCGAAAACCGCGTTGTGTTTGGCGTGCGACGTTGCTTTCTAGAAGGAGGGGCCCAACATTTACCTCACAGCCTGGTACAGAAAGAGTTGCACATGTGTTACCATGGTTGGTCAAGGGGTCAAATACATGTCGCTCGTACATACGTACGTATACCAGACACCTTGTGTCGAGAAGGAAATCAATCGTTCTCGGCTGCTAACCACAGCCCTGCTGGCGCCTCACGTGCAAGCGGTAGGGACGCTTGCTTCATGGAAACACGTGCTGATGCACGCCGCCCTACTCTGCTGCACAACACAAACCACCCACCCCAGCTACATTTTCTACCCCCCCAAGACGACAGAAAGCCCGATGCGCGACAACACCACCACAGTCTTGTTGAGCTCGTCCCCGGCCAAGGGGGTCTGTCACCTTGTCGCCGCTGCATACTTTGCGGGGGTCGGTAGACGCTCAGGTAGGCCGCAACACATCACGACCGTCAATGCTCTTGGACTCGGACGGACGGGTAAAAAATGTCGCTAAACTTCTTGTGATTGTAAAAACAAGACGAGAAAAAAAAACGCTGCGCTACAATTAGCGCCTGCATTGAAGACTTGGCAGCTAAGAAATTGAAGCTCAGAAACCGTTTGCATCATTTACGAGCTCGGTTTAGCACCCCTTAACTAATAGCTATTCAGCGGCCATTAGCGGCCATTCGCAGAAGGAATATAACCTTAGGAACTAGAACCTCACCAAAACTGTCATTCGCAGAAGCATAATAACCCTAGAAACTAGAACCTAACAACAACTAAATTGAGGGTCGCAAATGTGGGCGCTCCCTGAATGAAAACGTTAGCAAGCCAAGTGCTCGCCCGCGCCCGCTTCCTTGTGTGCCCTTGCCAGTCCCTGCAATACGGTGTCTCTCGCATATCTTCGTGCTTTTTTGGTCTTCTCACCGCGCCAGGGGAAGGAACAGGTAACTCAAGTAAAATATCTTCCAGAGGTCCATGTAGAAGTCGTAGACTTGCTTCGGTTGCTCGGGGTCGACACCTGCCGCCCGCCTTCTCATCAGCTGGCCGGTGATCAGCGCCAAGGCTGACACGAGCCCTCTGAGGAAGCGAGCGCACACAACGGGAAAAGCGAGGACACAAGCACAGCGACACAAGCACAGCAGGCTTAAAGAAAACGACGACGAGGATGCCAAACTCACGACCCTTTTCTGTGGCATACCTTGCGCGCAAGATGTAAGCCGTTCATCGCACACGACCCTGATATTGATGCGTTCTTCGGCATACCTTGCTCACAAAGTATCAGCCGTTTATCACCCGACCCTTTTATTGATGCGTTCTTTGGCATACCTTGCTCACAAAATATTTGTCGTTTATCACACGAACCCTTATAATAATGCGAAGGGAACAACAACAACAACAACAACAACAACAACGTCAAAATATCGGAGGCGGGGTGTTCGACAAATCCTGCTGTTACACATGGGGGTCTGTTTCGAGGGTGGGTGCTCGAGGACCGCCCAAGCTTCACACAGCGGACACAAAACCACAACACCAAAAGTCATCGTCGTACAAAACACCACCACACCAAATTTTCTCGCATGGGGGGTGACTGATCGATTCGAGGCGCTGGGTTTCCTCCTCCAATGGTAAGAAGGCGTTCGTAGATGCCAACACAAGCAACTCGCTTGCCTGTAGACGTTCATAGACACCAACTCAAGCCACAACCCACTCGCCTGCAGACGTTCATAGATACCAACACAAGCCGCAACCCACCCGCCAATAGACGTTCATCGTACTAGTACCACCAACAGCCGCAACCCACTCGCCTCAAACCAGAAGTCAGGGGCAGGCTCGCCGAAGCGGCCGCCTTCGCGCCCACGCCGAGCGCCGCTGCCGTCGACCACAGGAGCGCCGTCAGCAGGCGACGCGCGAACGCGAAGAGCTTGATCTCCCCGAGCACCACCGAGAAGGAAGGGATGTTAAACATGCGGTCACCTGCCACGTCTGGTACGTCCTGTGAGTCGGATGGAGCGACCGGGGGGGGTGGGGGGGTGTACTCATAGTCGTGCATGCCGTAGTCGTTAGACCATTGACCGCGCGGAGCGGGAGAAGGTAAAAACACAACACAAGGAGGTGGCAAAATATTTGTATCGACCTGGCGTCAAGCTTGCGAGGCCAGCCCAAAATGCCAACAAAAGAAAGCGTTGTTGTATTTCAGCAACAACAAAAAAAATGGCACGAACGAGAGTGCGGTGAATTACCATTCATTGACCTCGCATCAAGTGGACGAGGGGCATCGGATGATGGGGGTGGGACTTGTGGATCTTGACGAGTGCTACACCTCACGACGGTGGGCACAGCCATCCCTGACAAACGCTCTTTGGTTGACGTGTACTGCATCATATCTGGCACACAACGTACCCCGCAAACAGAGGCAAGGTACGCTACGATGTAACAACACACCTCGCTGACGGCTGCTCGAAAAAGGCGGACACAGTGAGATGTGGGCTACGGTTGGCCACGCGCAAGGCATTGCTCAACAGTAAGGCTACGCGAGCACTACCTCTAGCACAAAGGTCTCTTTTCAACAGAAAAGCGACCACACCAAAATCACTACGCGAAACGAGGCACAGCAGATAGCAATAGACTCGTGTATGTGTCTCTTACCTCTCTCCGTGTGTTTTTGTTATTTTTCGTCTCACCTTGTCAGGCTGGCGCCAATCTGCACCCCTTTCGGTGCACAACACGCTTGACGCATCAGCCACACTCCCAAACATGTTTACCTAGTACACATCAGCCACTGCCCCGAATAGTGGCGGCAGCAGCATGTGCACCTCACCTTCATGAGGGCAATGACGACCGCGAACACCGTAAAGTACGCGAGCGCCAGGGCACACTTAGCGTCCCTGAACGGAAGCGTCAACGTCCACAGCGCGGTCTTTTCCCCCGAGAGGCCGTACCCGGCCAACTGAGACACGACAAGAAACACAACAGCCACAAGGGGAGCGAGCGCAAAGCAGGCGTCGACAACAAAAGACGTCGTCACGCCAGTGAGCGTCGGCACACGGGAGTGGTTCAAGGGGACGGGGCAGAACCCGTCAGTGGGGCGCTCGGAGGGGCGGCGGCGAAGACGACGTGGGCGGGGGGTACGAATGTTTCGTTTTCCTTGATGTTAAGACCATCGATCACGCGTCCTCGAGAGGACGAAGCATTTTCCCCACACGATCGACCACCGATGGCCAATCGTTTCCTACTTCCCCAAGGATACGGTGGCTAAAAAATGCCTTCCCTGTCCTTTTGTGGGAGGGGGGGGGGGGGGGGNGGGGGGGGGGGGGGGGGGGGGGGGGGGGGGAGGGTGCATGCCCTCCTCGCTATGCCGCCAGCGGCAGGCACCAAAAACACGAGCCTCAAACAACACTCCCGGCTAGAAACGACTGCTATCATAGCCGTCAAGCGCACCTGAGCGTGAGAGTAGAATCCGCCGTTGATAATGGACCCCCGCACCACCAAGATGCAAAGCGCAGCCACTTGGGGGAAACGCTGCGGGGGGGGAGGGGGGGGGGGGGGGGGGGGG